CAGTAGTGGAGCAAGAAGAAAGGATCAAGGCTTACTGACGCTACAAGCAAGGCAACTGTCCTCCCTTTGGAAATAACCCAAGAAACTACCTTCACAACGTCTCTCAGGTATTCTATGGCTGCAATCGTTGTTGGCTACAGCGTCAGCAGCACGCTTGGCTTCAAAGGGAATGGACATCTCAGCCAGCTGCATTCACTTCAAATGGATGTGGGAAGATGACAGACACTTGTGGCTGACTTGCCCGACATAGAGGAGAATCTGGGACTGGTGGATAAGACATTGGGACAAAATCTCAAATAAAAGCTTTGTCTGGTCAGAGGCCATCAGACGAATAGATTTTGAATGTCATTCATGATATAACGGACTTGAAAGCTGGAGAGTGGTTGAATGTAGCTCAGGCAGTAAGGGCAATTATAATGAAGGTACTATGGGATGACTGAAATGATCAGTTGTTCAAAAACAAGTACATCGCAGATCCCGTATTCAAGAATACAATTGCTCAGCAGATTCATTTATCTATCAGTAGTGATTGGTTTCGAACACAGAAAGTGGTTTTGGGACACGTGGGGGAGAGTGTCCAGATTAGTGAAGTTTACTGCAAAAGGCAGGTTAAGGCAGGTTATGCTTCTCACCCTGGCTACTCTTCCCAACAGGGCACGGAGAGCCCTTTAGCTCTCCACCTTGATGGGGTATCTTAAAAAGATATAGGTGAAGGTGGCTGTGGTGACATCACAAGATTTCACAAGATTTCACAAGATTCAAAAGTGTAACTCTGAAGATCTGCCTCTCAGAGGCCTCCTTTTTTTCCTTTTAATTTCTTTAGAGAACAGTTTAATAGAGGGACAGTGGACACGGTTCCCGAGAGCCTACAGCTGGGTAAAGGCCAGAGCATGTATCTGTACCGGGTTGAATTGTGAGGTGTATTCCCGGGCCCCTGTTCCTCTTTCTGGAATAAATCAACTTGAGCTGCTCTCAAAAAAAAAAAAAAAAAAAAAAAAAAAAGGAAGAAGGAAAAGAACTGTCTCTTATACACATCTAGATGTGTATAAGAG